CTCTAACCAGCCAGTTCTGAGGACTGAATCCAAGCCTACCAAGCAACAGGGAGCATTTCTTTGCTTGCAGCCATTGTACGCTGCCCAATAACCAAGGCAGCAAGATGCAAACATGAAATTGGAAACAAAACCACCAGCAATAGAAATGCCAAAAATAAAGCAGGAAGCAGGAGATACAGGTTGAATATCTCTGCTGTGAAATGCCAACTTCCAAAATATTCCAAAATCCAAAATTGACCACAAGGGTGGCTGAGATAGTGACCCTTTTGCTTTCTAATGGCTCAGTGTACACAAATTTTGTTTAATGCACAAAATTATTTTAAAAATATTATGACTAAAATTACCTCCAGGGGACTTCTATAATGTGTAATCAAAACATAAATGAATTTTGTGTTTAGTCTTAGGCTCCATCTCTGAGCTATCTCATTGTTGTTATGTGCTTTCAAGTCATTTCCAACTTATGGTGACCCTGTCATGGGGTTTTCTTGGCAAGTTTCTTCAGAGAGGGGTTGCCACTGCCATCCTCTGAGGCTGAGAGAGTGTGACTTGCCAATGGTTACCCAGTGGGGTTGCATGGTTGAACCAGGATTCAAACCCTAGTCTCTAGAATAATAGCCCAAAGCTCAGACCACTATGCCACACTGGTGCTCAGATATCTCATTAAATATATGCAGATATTCCAAAATCTGAAAAAAATCTGGAATCCAACACTTCTGGTCCCAAGCATTTTGGAGAAAGGAAGTTCATCCTGTAGCATTAGTGCAATGTGCAAGTGCTTTCCTTAAATTTTGACTGTTCTAGAAGCCTGGAGGAACAAAACAGTGTTTGCGTTCCAATGGAAGGACAACAAGGAGACTGTTCTAGCTTCCACAGGGAGGGCATTCCTGCATGTAGGGGCTGCCTCTAAGAAGGCCCTGCCTGATGTCTCCACCAACCACATCTGGAAAGATGGCGGAACTGACAATAGAGCCGACCCTGAAGGTCTCAGGCTCTGGCCAGCCTCATGTGGGGTTTTAGACTGAACTTCCAGTGAGCTGTCCAAGGTGCTGACCTCTATTCCCAACATAAGCTGAACACTTTCCTCTTTAAGGTTATATATTTTTATTTTTTATTAAAACACTTCTGCCCAGTCCTTTATCATAGGATTTCACAGCAGTGTTCTTGTTGTTAACTGTCCTTGAGCCAACTTTTGGAGACTCATGGACTCATGGTTGGAGATACCTCTGAGTCCTCAATTGCTCTGTTCGGGTCCTACAATCCCAGGGCCGTGGTCTCCTAGATTGAGTCTATCCATCTGGTATGGCAGGGGTAGGCAACCTTTCCCCTTTAAGGGCCGAGGGACTTCAGCTCCCAGAATCCCAGGATCTATTGGCCAACATGGGACTATTGGCCAACATGGCTGAGGCTTCTGGGAGCTGAAGTCCCTCGGCCCTTAAAGGGGAAAGGTTTCCTACCCCTGTGGTATGGGGTCTTCCTCTCTTTCTACTACTGCCTTCTGCATTTCCTAGCATTATTGTCTTTTCTAGTGAGTCATGCTTTCTCATGATG